TTCAGTAATGTGTGTGAAAAATTTAGCGCAAAACCTGCCTTTTGTAGCACAAAGCCTAACTTGTGTTAGTCACCCGACCCTCTTGCCAACGTTCTTGCCTCGTCCTGAATCCTCGCGATGCCCCGCTTTGGACTGGCAGTGCGAATTTTCCACCTAGCAAACGAGCTGACTCACTTGAAGTACTCCAACTTCTCAAAAGGTGTCTTATGGGTCGGTGCTCTGTTTTCAGTACCAAAATGTCGTTATATGCTCATGTTTGACCTTTTCTAATGTTTTCTCGCATATTCATTTATTTATAGTGTTTATCAGTTCCCCTGAGCGCGTCGCCACGCGCGGACGCGGGCGCTGCTTGTCTCTTCACGGGGTAACCTCACGGTTCTTTCTTGCGCGCAAGCGCGTGCGTGTATGGAGAAGGGTGTTCGGGTGTGTACCCGATTTGTCTCCGCCCAACGCACCCTTCTCGACTAGATCGTGATGTACAATTGATTCGTCACGGACCTGCTGCCTTCCACCGCCACTCGAGTGTTTGACGTGTCCGCCGACAGCAGCATTGCGTCGAAACCTGGCCCAATTTTGCACTTCGCGGGCCGTCGTCCGTGTACTGGTGCTTGTGTGCACCCCTCACCCAGTCAGCTCCATCTTCAACCGCGTGCGAGGCCTGTAAGAACCTGATCATTGCCTGCCGCGTGAAAACACCACCCGACGAGAGACCCTGCAGCTAGACCGTGCCGCCGGGCCGCGCTCCGCCGACCTTGACCTGTGATGTCATACCGCCTGGGGCGTTGTGCATTCCAGGGTTCAGTAAGAGACCTAATTCTTTTGACAGCTTTCTCGAGTGATCTGCCTTTGTACGCACAAAGCGCACATGTTTTTCATCGTGCATATGGTACCAGATGCAAGCGCAACCAAAACGTAACTTATCACTTTCGGCATTCGTCAAATTTACTCGCTCTTCTAAACTTCACCGTAACTTTTCGCTACGTCGTGTTGCGATCCTGTGCGGAGATGATGAACTTAGGTGTCGTCTTTGACAGCGCCTGTCATGGGATTCAGCACGTGTCCGAGCTCAGCCGCCGGTGCATGGGCGTGCTGATAAGCCCGTCCTTCGCGCTGCACTGCCTTGCAAGATGACGTCATCAAAACTCTAGTGACGGCGTTGGAGCTCACGCAGGTCAGATAGCTGTCTGAAGGCTTATGACAATGGCACGCAGAACAAATTTGATAGAAATCGAAAAGATTCTAAACTTTGCTACCAGATCGATTGTTGGCCAACGTAGATTTGGCCATGCGTCTGGCCTGCGTAAGACACTTTGACTGGCGTCGCCTCGACACGTGGTAGAGCTTCAAGTGGCCACCCTGGCTCATAATGTGATGCATACACAGCGAGCCTGATATGCTAAGGGCAATTCAAGGTCGAGGACGTGGGTCGGCCGCACACGTGCGTCAGGTACCACTCGGCCTCAGCTCTGGTAAACGCTGCCTCGTGTGGCGGCCCGGCCACGCGCGTCAGGGTACCACTCGGCCTCCGCTCTGGTACCGTGTTGGTTGTGACCCCAGTTGGCTGACTGCAGTGTTGGTGAACTGCTGCTGCGGTTGTGCAGGCTCAAAGTGGTCGCTGAACACAGCTAATGTCGGGCAGTCAATACGTTACTCGCAATATGTTTTAATCCCGCAATCCAAAGAGATGCGTGACCGGCACCAACAACGCGATCTCTTCGCGTAGTGAAGCAAGCGGAATCCGCTTGTCTTGGGCTTTTGTTCTGAAATGCAGCAATGGTTTCACTTCATGGCCATGAGACAGACAGAAAGACAGAAGACCAGGCCGCCACGAAACAGTTTGCAGAGTAATAATTCAGCAAGCATGCTCTCTGTAGGGGTAAATCTCCTATTACCCGCCGTTGTAAACCATCAGCCAACAACTTTGTTCTATCGTCCATGCTCTGCATCAACTAGCAGCCAAGATAATAATGATCCAAATCTGATGGCAGCAAAGCGTTGACATCTTAGCAGGTTAATATTGCATCTTCCATAACGTTCTGACGCCGGAAATAAGGGTTTATATTCATGCCTGCACGGTTTTAGGGAGAAAACAGAAGTGTTTCGACGCAAAAATTCGCGCAATGCTTCATTCTTTTGGGCTGCAAGATAACCGTCAGACCACCTCTCGATGAATGAGAACGCCGTCAGGAAAGCGCCGCGTCGTTTCAGAGCAGACATGCGAACAGAAGAGCCAGAACTACGGCGAAGCTTGGCGCCCCTCAGCACCTGCCCTTGTACTTGCAGCGGTAGTGTTTCTTTCTGGAGCCGGAGCGAGAGCGTGATTTGGAGCCGGAGCGAGAGCCGGAGCGAGAGCCGGAGCGAGAACGGGAGCCAGAGCTGGAGTCAGAGCCGGAGCGTTTCCTGCAACGTCCGTTGCGTTTCCTGCCGTGACGACAGCGGCGGCGTCCCCGTCTGTCCGACGGCTGTGTTCCGAGGCAGTGCGGCCGGCCGTCTGCGGTCACCGTGCACGGTCGGCCGGGGCAGAGGTCACTACAGGTCACGCGGGGTGCGACCGGCACCGGCACCGGCACCGGCACCACGTGCACCGGTTGCACCGGCACCGGCTGCAAATGAACCGGATTAGGATCGGGCACTACCGGAAGCGGAGGTGAAGGCGGAGGCGGGGGCGGGGGCGGGGGCCGATGAAAAACGGGCACGGGCACAGGCACGGGCACGGGCACGGGCACGGGCACGGCTGGGGCAGGGTTAGTGACAAACACAGTCCGAACTCGCTCCCGGCCGCGGAAGCCGCAGTCTCCTGTGCAGCGGCACTTCGACTTGGACTTCGACTTGCGCTTGGACTTGGAGCGCTTGCAGCGCTTACCACTTCTGGTACGGCACCGGCATGGTCCACGATCGTCGTCGTCGAGGCGGGGAGGGACGCCGAGGCAGCGGATTCGGCCGTTCGTACTGACCGTGCACCTCTGACGTGGACAGTAGTCGTCACAGGTCGGCGGCGGTCGTGAGCGGAACCGAGCGACGCCAGCTGAAACAGACGCGCCGGGGGTTCAGAGCAGTGTAAGGAAGTGGGGCCAGAGTAAAGCCAGTGGCCAGTCATATGAAGGCCCAGGGAGTGGATGTAGAGCAGTCAGAGGGAGATCAGAAGGAGATGAGAGATGGGGGTCAGATAAGGCTTAGAAAGAAACCCTAGCAAGGGAAAAACGACCAGAGAGACGTAAAAGGGAAGTCAAACGTCAGGGCAATGTTAGTGGGAGACCAGCGGAGAGGGGCATCCAGGCCACTGTGTCACCAGGCTTTGATGCTTTTCCGCTCAGTCTGACGCGGGCTGGCAAAACTGGTGGCTTTACCGTCCAAATGCGAAGCATTTGATGACAAAGCACAGCCCGTACATTTGAAAATGTTAAAAGAGAGCGTTCCATTTATATACGGAATTTCGAAATGAAATAGCCATCGTGAATGCCTTTTAGCGTTGTTCACAATCCTGCCCTTCTCAAGGCCTAAGCCCCGCTAGTTTCTGAGCTACACGCCCACGAAAATGGGGAGAGGTGTATCGAGGATAGTTTTTCGAAGTCACCCTGGCAATCATGACGTCATAATAACGTCATTCAAATCCTGCCAATCCATAAGCCACCCGACGATCAAGGCCATTGAAAACCTAGTTGTCGAGGCGTTCATATTGGGTGTTCGTAAGCGTAATTTTCAGATCTAACGGCCGTCAGTTGGCTCTCAAGCAATGTTGTGCAAGGTCCCATGACCTAATCAAACCATGACGCGTTGAGAGGCATATTTAGTTAACAGAGAATTGTGCTGTCTAGAGCAATTGTTTACACTTAAAAGGCATACCAGCACTCACAATTAAAACCATGTCTGATATAAAACGAATCAATAGCAATTTAAGCGATAGCTAACATTTAAGATATCTCAAGAAGGTACCTACAAGAATTATTTGATGATATAACGATATAATGATATCATGATATCTCAAGAATGTACATATATCCCTTCACAAGGAAAACGTTTTATACCCTCGTTCGTTGCATTGACCAATTTGTGACTATCTGATGCCACGTAATATTAGATGTATATATATATAGTATATATATATATATATATATATATATATATATATATATATATATGTGTGTGTGTGTGTGTGTGTGTGTGTGTGTTGTGTGTGTGTGTGTGTGCGTGTGTGTGCGTGTGTGTGTGTGTGTGTGTGTGTGTGTGTGTGTGTGTGTGTGTGTGTGCGTGTGTGTGGCGTGTGTGTGTGTGTGTGTGTGCGTGTGTGTGTGTGTGTGTGTGTGTGTGTGTGTGTGGTGTGTGTGTGTGTGTGTGTGTGTGTGTGTGTGTGTGTGTGTGTGTGTGTGTGTGTGTGTGTGTGTGTGTGTGTGTGTGTGTGTGTGTGTGTGTGTTTATATATAAATGTGTAAACATATATACAAATATTTAAACATCTATACATAACTTTTGCGTTACACCACAACACATATCATCACCTGTACTTCATAGCAGTTTATAAGAATATACACGACGCTAAGATTCCCAAGAACGCGATAGACGTCGACACTGAAGCATCACAGGCGAGTAACTTCTCATGTATAGATGAGAGATCAGGCTGAGCGAAAAACTTTCCCATTTGAAAATATTTGTCAGGAGGTTGCTGAATGCGACAGGGCAAGTCCGAAGTTTGGACTATGTTGAATGTCCAAAGTGTGGACAATTCTCCTATGGATTGTTGTAATTATACTTATCTCAAGCTCTTTATAGTCTTGACACGTTCACCTGTCGGGGGGTGGCAATGCGTGTACCACATCCTGATTTTTATGCAGCTTTTGGTATGAGATGTTCAATGCAGCTGCAGAGGACTGCACATACACCTGACAGTAGTTCATTTTTAATATATCCTCCTTGATGGATAAAGAAAAGGTAAAACATTATGCATCCTGTTGTAAATGTGACGTAAAATATGTTTCCATATCTCTATTTTCTACATGGTTGGCATACATCGGCAAGAAATAAGGTTATTGTAATTGCTCTTAAGCTTTCGACCATATCACAGTTCTCGTCATTTAACGAAAAAGCAAGCTGACTAGTATTCGCGGGGCGAACTACTTTACCAGTCTCGGATGTCAAGCCACGAACGCACGAGAAGATAGCGGACTCAGCAACCGGCCCCACCGCAAGCAAGCAGAGGATAGACAGGAGCGCTCACCGACGGGCCCAGATGAGGTGAAGCTCAAGCTGATCATCAGCGTCAGCAGCGTCAGCCAGCTGATGCGACCCATGGCTGTGGATCCGCGCGGCCGACGCCGCCGGCGCTGGCTTCTGGCCGCCACCTGGGTGGAGCGGGCGAGCGGACGGCTTTAAACCGGCGGTGGTGGCAGCTCTGACACGTGTCAGTGTCAGCATCGCGACATTTGGTGGCGCCAACCTCTGGCTGACGCCGGCCGACGGTAGGAGCGCCGCCAATGTCGAATCTACGGCCGTGGTGCTGGGTTATCTTAAGATATTTCTTCGAACAGTCTCACAATAGTATGGCTGGATGGTCGGGTAAATATCCTGGCTAGTTGTTGGAATCAGTGGGCTGTGCGTCAGTTATGTCGGCCACCATTGCATTTCAAAGTATTTTCTGGACGAAAAGGAGCCGCAGAACCAATCATGGTTTTTAGAGCCGTTCATGGCCGTTTTAGGTAACCGAGCTCCTTCTGGCTGTGGATGACCCCTCTTGCGACTGAGGAGTATCTCGCCGGTGGCGTTCCTTTCTGACTGCTCATAATCTCTAATTGGCAGGATATGGTAATGCTCTTTCTCTAATTGGTGTGCAACGCTGACTACGTTAGATGAAAAGCACACCCACAACGCCGCTTTTCGAATAGTTCAATACGCTTGGATTAAATAACAACACAAAGAATCGCGCGATTTTGCGCTTTGAAACTAACAGTGAACGAAATGTTGAGCGTTTATAAGGCAAGCGTCATAGGTTCGATTGGGATCGGTAATAGATCGGTTTTATTTAGCTTGTGAAAACAAATGTCACATCATCTCATTTCATCAACTGGAATCAACGGAATAGACAAAGATTTAGCCTACGCCCAAATTTTGCACACCTTTTCATGGTGGAATATGTGACTAGCTCCTATAGTTGGGCAGTGTTATCATTAGTCTGCACGATAGTTTTATCCGACAAACTCGAGTTGACTAAAAAAGCAGAAAATCTGACTCTACCTCTACTGCGCATGGGTGCGCTGACACTCTATTGTCTACTTCTTAGCATTGATTTGCCTATGTAATTGTCGTTTTTATGTCTCCCTGTAATTTGTGGAGGTGGTGTTAAGCCCTATGGGGACATCTCTGTGCCTTGCGGGAAAAGTAACGTGCAGCGGTTGTGTTGCTGTTCGCTTCATTCGTCTTGCCTCACCTTTGTTGACATTTCGACTCGCCTCGACCACCAACCGGAGACACTCGGGGAGGCCTTGAGCTCTCAGTCACCTGTTGCGCAGCCGATGGCGCTTCTCAGCGTTCCCCCACGTGACCCAGCGAGGTCGGACGGGCTGGTCAGTAGCGCCATCTATTCATAAGCTCCGCTTCAACTTCAGGGCGCCGCCACGACGCAACTGAGCAACTCGGTGATAGCTTTGCTGCAGCGACTCTGGCTGCAAAGACGCCGCCGCCATCGAGGAAGGGGGGGGGGGGGGGGGTTCTCGAGCTGAACGCATATCACATCGGCCCATCCGGGTGCGTGTTACCCGCACGGATCGTGCCTCCAGATCCGCCACGCCACCAAGACCCCGGAGCTCGCTCCCCACCGCGTCCGTCACCGCCGGGGGGAGCGAGTCATCGAGGCTTTACGACGCGCTCAGCAGCTGAGGCTGTATGGCGTCGCCTGCCTGTCACCCTGGTAGCAAGGGCGGGCACTGCGCAGTCAATGCCGAACGGGGGTAAAGCGCGTTACCTGTCTCGCGCGCTTCGCGTTAAAATTCGTCAAACCCGACAAGCAGAGATGCGACGTGCTTTCGCACCCACTGAAACCGCGCTGAAAACGAGTCTCCTGAAGGTGAGATCCGTCGTCAAATCTCTGAATGAGGTGAGCCATCTGCTTGTCGCTGAGCAACTGGAAATACTCAACATTGGAAAAACGTAGCTCACCGGGAGGATCGATGACCGCATGCTCCTGTTCCAGGGATGTGTACTTTGCAGGAAAGACCGACAAACTGGGGGATCTGAAAGATCGGAGGTGTCCCCATCATACACCGTGCCACACTGCAGCTGAAGTCTCTGTCGGCGCTAGCCATAAGTACTTCACAGACGGCACTCTGGCTTATGTTAAATCGCCACTGGCCTCTCATGGTCTGCGTGATCTACTGCTCCATGGTGGGGCGACGGCTCCAGCCACCGATGATCTGCAGTCAGCCTGCACCCATCTTGTCAACAACCTAGCCAAGCCTATCCTGGGCGGCACCAGCTTCGATGTTACACGTTCCCAGAAATCTGGAGTGGCACACACAGCCTGATCAGTGACCTCTCAGTAAGTTACGTTCTTTACCTCTCCTTCTGACCCGGGATCCAACCCAGTCTGGATTGATCATATCATTACCAGCAAACCGGACCTGACATCCGATGTGGAAGCACAAGCCTGCAACAAAGTGGTCACGATCTGATCTAAGTGGCGATGACTGCTGCCAAGATCCAACAAGAGCCGTCGAAAATACGAGCCCGGTCCGCACGGCGCTTCATCCGAGATGCCCTGGGTCTCGATCTCCTACATGCTTATTATATCTCAATCTGTGAGGCAGCATCCGCGGCCAAGAAATGGGACGCTTGGCTGTCGGTTTGGGATCCGATCATTTCAAATTTAATGTCACCAAATTCAAATGCCACTACGCAGTGTAAAGCTGAAGTGTCCGTCCTATCTGGGGCTTCAAGATGATGACGTTAGAAGCTCTCGTAGAGGAACATGATAGGGCACGCGCCGACAAGGAGCAAACTCCATGCTAGGGGACCGAGCAGAAGTTTTGGCTTTGCTGAGACGCAGTCAAGAGCGCATTAAATCGCACGTACTTTTCAAACTAATTCAGAACGTTGAACGAGTCACGATCTACAGCACGGAGAGACCTCCGTGGTTTCCTGGCATCTTCCAAAACAACCGAGTCAAATATCGCCAACCCGACGTAGCGAAATTCGCACTGGAACCAACAAACTGCACCCGTTTCCCATCCATGGACCACGGCGAAGCGGCCGCCGTGACCGCCTTCCACGCTGGGAAGACCCCCTCGCTACAACCCTGCCGTGCGTGCGCATCGGCGCGCCCTCCATGCGCGGTTTCGATTCACGCATTTCATGGGAAGAACGCATCTCAATCATTATGCGCCGCTGCTATGGTATTCCCTGGGGACTCGCTATGATACGCACCGTCCTCCTAAAGAAGCTAAACCACTGCTGATCGAGACACTTGTCCATCTCATGTGCGATGCCGTTTGTCGTTATGGGAGCTGTAACGTGCCTCAGGAGCGACGAAATCCAAAGGTTTTGAAATGCGACGCCCGTGTCGCATTCAATGCCATGCGCCGAGACTAAATGACACCCACGCATCGCGAACTAGAATGACGCAATCGACAAACTTACCTGTGCACGTGACGTAATAATCATGCGTAATATCTTCACAACCATCCAGACGCCGGAGATGCTACGAGAGCGTGTAGTACGCCGCTCTGATGTGTCCACTCCTGTCACGCGGGCAACGGCTCTCAAGTCGCTGCGGCTGTTGTGTGTCCGAACGGAGTTTGGGCGTCGGTCGTTCATAGGTCGTCACCGCCGGGTTGCCGGTGTTCTATCATGGGTGGCTTTGTAGGAAATAGGATGCAAGCTTCTCCCAAGTTTTTAGTTTTCCAGGCATGCACCATACAAGAGCAGGCCTGTTGCGCGTTTGCCAACAGTTATGCTTTTGTTGCATTGCCACTCGCGTTGCATTCAGTTATGTTCTTAGAAAAACTATGCGGCTGCCTGCCTATACATCAGATGCCTATTTTTCTTGCGGCTCTTTGAAAAAGTCATTTTTTATTGGTATCGTGTGTCAATGCTTGACGATCGCCTGCTTTAAAAGGCCGTTTGTGCTTGTTTACAACTTGGCTACTTATACCAAATCCGTTTTCATTACTATATACACTCACAACTATCTGAGCGCAAGCACAAAGGTAAGAATGCTTTCTCGAGTGGTATAAAAACAGGAGAGTAGGGGACCCTACCTCAATTGAATTTATCATTAACCCAGCGGTGCTGGCAAACAAGATCTTCATTGCATCCAACCGATATTAGCCTAAGTTGACTCATCACTCGTTAGAAACTGTAGATAAGATCCCCTGAATGGAATGCTAAAAGGTATGACTCAACATGCTGCTCCCCAATACAGCTTAAATAATTGTTCACATCGACGTACTGCTTTGATGCATTCTTATGCACACCAGCTTGTTAATGCTCACCCGTAGTTGGGTCTTATAATGTTGAGCCCTGAGAAAAAAAATCAAGTGGTGTTCGTCATTCAGCCATGTACACATCAGGAGCCGAAGTTTGTCCTTGGAATAGCTGAGGCTCGAGTCGATATCTTCTGATTGACCTTCACGCCACGCCAGCGCCACGCCACCTTCCCTTCACGCCAGCTGACCTTCACGCGACCGCTGCCACTGACCGCAATCCACACCAGTCAAGGGCAAAAAAGCGATCACCTAAAGCGACTCGAACTCACCGCGCTATCGGGCGGACGGACCGGACGCCCAGCTAGCTGTGCCCAGCTAGCTGTGCCAGCGAGGCGAACATCAGCCCGATAGTAGATAGTAGGCGAACATAAGCCCAATTGGTCCCATTGGTATTCTATATGCCGCGCAGCAATGGGCGCACACATGATCAGCCTGGATGTGGGAGTGTGTTAGCCAACGTATCAACACATTAAGCCCTTAATCGTTGCGCGGAACAGGTTTGAGAATGATGGCCCACTTGTAGAAGGAGCGGGCGTCGAAATCAACTTCAATATGCAGCTGCCTCACGTTTGTGTCACCGCAACCTCGGAACAGCTGAACGAAAACACCAGCAGCAAGCTGAAGGAATATTGATGGGATCACCTCTGTCGCCGGCGACCAGCTAGGTGCCAGCCTGAGTCCTAGATATTAGCCCGACGTCGCTTTCAATTTGCGGGGATATCTCTAAATAGCCTGGAAATCCAAAACACCAAATTCGCCAACAGATTGTTCGTCCTGCTAACCATAAGGGTAAAACATTCGAACCATAATCAGAAGACCTCGGGTCGAGTGCCGCCCAACGCAAGAAGAAAAATCTGGTTGT